TTTCCTTACCTCTTTTGTTAAAATTGGCAAGCCTCAAATGTATTTAACTTTGCCTGGCTCATAGCTTTGCCATTGTTACAATCACTGAATATTTAACAAATCAGACTTTTGTAAAAAAAAAATATAATATCCACACAGTCCTTCTTTCTTTATCTAAACATTTCAGCCTCAGGAGCTAAAACAACATTTGGAAAACATCTTATTTCTCCAGCCTGAAGGCCAAGTAATTTGCCAGCAGGGGTCTGTGCCTTTTTGTTGCCACCCTTATCTGTGGCTTTGGCTGATGGAACATACATTGCAGTTTTTCCATTTGTAAAGCCACACTCAATTAACGACCAGCTTCCAAATTGTTCTTCTGGTTGAACATCATAGTTAAAAGCCAAATGGCATCATGGAAAGCAGGGGTGGAAAAAAAGGCCATCTGTAGACTGAGTATTTCATGAATGGTAATATTTCTAACATTAAACCCTATCCATTTGTATGAGAAAATGAAGGTTGTTTGAGGAAAATCTGGTGGCTATTTTCAGCATAATGAAGTATCTGCAAGAGGGATTATGTTATTGTGATCTGCATAAACAGACCTCCTAGAATTTTTGACAATTGCTAGTCTATGAGCAGACATTATTTTATTTTTTTAAAATAAGAAAGGAGATAGATTGTTGATTCCTTAATGATGTGATAAGGAATACTTCTCCAAACTACTTCTCTTTGCTTGACAGAAATTCTGTCAAATGTACTAGGTAGACCAGTACAAGAAACAGATGCTTTGTGGGCCTAAAACTACTTCTATTAAGATTGGCAACATTAACAGAATCTTGGAAGTTGGCATTTGTTTCCCATCCTCCTTTTTTAATCTATTCTGCAGATTAGGGTGGTACCTGTCTAAGATGTTTTTGTATCCTTCACCCATCATTTGGGCTTCTATAATGTCTATCAACTGGTTGCCTTAGTAACAGATTTTCCCTTTCTCCATCAAGGTTATCCTCTGTACTCTCTACAAACACACTATCTTTAAGATATTGTGAGCTTGAACAACATGCATATTCACAAACTCTGCATGGTGCCAGATTTTTTATGCAAGTCAAATATATGTCTGTGTATGTGTGTGTGTGTACACATGTCTTGCTGTGACTTTGAAATAAATCATGCAAGCACAATGTACAACCTCTGATTGGAATGTCAAAATTGGAAATATTATGGAGGGAAAAGTTGTTGGGCTACTTGGCCTAGGAAACTTAAATAAAGCAGGGGAATGATGTATCGGTTTTTGCCAACCTAATAATTCCTTCATTGCTAATAGAAACTTCAAACAACCAGAACAATGCCTATGTATAAGGACATCACCAGATGAAGTGTATAGAAATCAAATCAATATGAGAAGCTGGATACGCTCAATTATAATAGCAACAATGTGGCTGGGGGATTAGTGTGAAACAGATCACAAATTGTTCCTGTGTTTGTTCCGAGTTAAATAAAATGGAAGGAGAAAGCCAACCGGTTCCCACAATGTTATCCCACCATTTCCAAAGACAGCATCAGGAACCATTTTAAGGACTGAACTTCATTCATAGTACAGGTAAATTAGAGGAACTATGGAATGAACTTAAAGAAGTTGTTAAGGATGATTGTGAACGGAGACATACAATGGTCAAGAAAGAAAAGCAAATTGGATATCAGAACAAACAGTAGAAATTACAAAGAGCCTTGTGGTGCAGCACATTAAAGTACTGTTAAGTAACACCAGCTGTCTGCAATTACTGCAAGTTCAAATCTCACCAGGCTCAAGGTTGACTCAGCCTTCCATCCTTTCAAGGTAGGTAAAATGAGGACCCGGATTGTGGGGGCAATAAGTTGACTTTGTATAAAAAAGAACACCACTGGGGGGGTGGGCAAAAGCCGTACTAAGCAGGTATATACAAAAGTATGAAGGCTATTGCTTAACGCATTGTAAGTCGCCCTGAGTCTCCGGAGAAGGGCAGCATATAAATTGAACCAATAAATAAATTGAACCAATAAATAAACAAGAGAAGCCAAAGACACAGAAGGCAAAGATCCCAGAATTGAAGAAATAATTTCAAAGAGATGTTAGAAGACCCACAGAAAGTAGCATGGCAGCAACATTTATGAAAACATCAGAGGAAACAGATCTGGAAAAACAAGGAAAGATTAACAAAAAAATCTATGTGCTCAAAAGTGGTTTCCAACTTTGAATTGGTATGCTAAAAGATGCCAAGAGATAGATAGCAACTGCTTCAAAAAAGATCAAAAGGGGAAATAATATACTGAATTTCTGTGCAATAAAGATGTCAACATGCAAGATACTTTAGAAAATATTCCCTACAGGATTGACACTTCTGAACATTGGTATTGTGGAAGACCCCCGAGAATACCACAAATAATCAAATGGATCACCAAACAAATCAACTTAAGGCTCAGATAATCTTATTTCAGACACTTTATGCAGAAACACTGAGCCGTGGTGGCACAGTGATTAGAATGCAGTACTGCAGGCTACTTCTGCTGACTGCTGGCTGCCAGCAGTTTGGTAGTTCAAATCTCATTGGTTCAAGATTGACTCAGTCTTCCATCCTTTCAAGGTTGGTAAAATGAGGATCCAGATTATAGGGGGCAATATGCTGATTCTGTAAACCACTTACAAAGCGCTGTAAAGCACTGTGAAGCAGTATATAAGTCTAAGAGCTATTGCTATTTCTCTGGGGAAAAGAAGAAGAGGATAACCTATCCCAAGGTGGATGAACTCAATTACAGCAGCATTGGGCACACCACACTTACAGTGGAAGATGTAAAGACTAGGTTAGAAAAAAAAAAGTTCCTGCAGAAAATTCCCCCTCCTCACATATACACACACAGACACATACCAAACAAACACATAGAGAGACAGTAATGTGGTATACAAAGAACATGTAACACATTACTGAAAATGTGCAATTATGATAAACTTGATAATTTTCTTAGAAAAGCAAACATGAAAATATTATTGTGCACTGGTGTACAGTGTAACAATATTTATATAACTATGAAAGTAATCCTTTACATCAGTGGTTCTCAACCTTTTCTTCACCATGGACCCCCCCCCCACCTAAATACTTTTTGAGTATTTGACCATGGCCACAGACCACAAAGACTGAACTCAAGATTTAAAGCACTAGACTGCATTAAATATTCACAAACCCTATGTGATGACATTACAACCTCCCCAGGGGTCCATGGACCACAAATCAAGAACCACTACTTTGCTTGTTGTATACACATAATAAATATGCCTCAAATAGACAATATTGACCATATGTACATAGATGTTATCTGTCTGTCTGTCTGTCTGTCTGTCTCTCTATATTAATTTTCAACTTTAACCTCTTTCCAGTAACATACTGAAAGGAACCATTTCAGTAGGTTTTTTTTTTAATGTAAGTACTTTGAAGTAATGTATATTGAAAGCAAAATTGTGTCATCCAACTCTAATTCTGAGGCTGTCTCCCCCCTATTAATATGCCTGTGCATATTAATACATCTAGCTGTCTCCCCAAATATTTCTATCAAAACTTTGGATATTTGCCTAAAATGAAACTTTCATTAATGTGTTGAATGCTTCCTGATTTTCCAACAGAAATATTTCTACTTAGAATTCCAGTCAGCCATTTCTTCAGGTTGTGGATTCCATTCTTCCTGCTGCTTCCTTTGACTTCTCAGCATTCTGTGGCTAGTGAACAATTCCTGTTGTACTGTTGTTCGTTTTTCAAGATTTGTTTTGTCCATGTGTGTTTCTGCAAAAGATGTAATCACAAGAATTCTGGCACCATTCTTCAGGGTTTTTAGTAGCTCTGTTCAAATCAACTTACTATCTAAATTTGCTAATAGAAATTGTGGAAATCCATAACAAATGGAAAAAGTGAAAATGTCTCATGGTTCAGTCAAATCTTATACCAAATCAAGTTTTAACTATGTGCATTAAAGTACTTTAGGCTTTAGAAAATGCCCTTGATGAACTCTGAGAAGTCTAGGGCATGCAAACAATTTCATTTTAATCTGATATGGAGAAACTCTTCACATTAAACCTGTAATAGATGTGGTGGATTGCAAATTGTATTCTTGCAAATTCAGGGATTGCTCCAGCTTTCGATGTAGTGCAGCAGCTAAAATTTATACCATAATTTGTGGCCTTTTTAAGCATTTTATTTCTTTAATAGATATTGAAAGTTGGTAATAAGTCCTTCAGCAGCATGTTCCAACATATTAGTTCAAGTTATAGCATATCATTTCAAGATGAACTGAAGAGTGGACAGAATATTAACATTGAACAAGGCATAATTAATAATAATTTAAGGGAAAGGAGAAGGTTCTTTTAAAAAAAATCAATATATCTATGTTTTATATCTAGACCAACAAAACCTAAAAAATATTCCAATCATCAGTTATTTGACTCACTTGGGGAGCATAATTTAAAATTCATGAAAATAAACAGCAGTCTACCCAATTATTATGCCACTTAACACCAGGGTTTTCTGTACTTTTAAATGCACTTAGAATCTTTCTGGCTGATTGTTCATAGTTTCTAGAATAAAAAGTAAGACACAGTCTTCTACTATCTAACTTATTAAAGAAGAAAAAACATGTAACTGAGCTTTAAACAGTCTTTCAAATCCAACTCTATACAGCCTGTTGAACCCATGATGTGCCAAATCAGAAGCTCCTTCCTGAGATGAAAACTGTAAATAATTTGACAATCTATTTTTGCTGCAGTTCCAAATAGTTAGCATAATTTGCCTTTTGGTAGATCACCTTTTACATCATGGATAAGATGTGTTGGCATATATTCCTGGGCTCATTAGAGTAGATCACTTTTCTCCTATTTGAACAATAGTCACAGTAGATGGCAGCATCTGGCTGACCTGGCTGATCTCAAAAAGCTAACTAGGGTAGGATTTATTTAGGACACACACACACACACACACACACACACACTTAGAAAACCCTGAGCTGCAGGCTAGACTGGGAAATCAAAAGAAGTCAAAGAAGTTCTGTAATCTTGCTGAGAAAGCTAAACGGGTATGTTCCTGAATTTACCAAAAGCTGAACTGAACTTGAGGGAATTTTTACTCTATTGACAATAAAAATAGCTAGACCTCCTGGTCATGCCAAATTATTGTATTAGGAGAAGGTTTTAATTCAACTTTATATGAGTTATTTTAAGGGTTTCGTTTATTAGAGAGTAGGGAGAGAAACATTCAGCCATGTTCTTACTTCCTATTGCCAGATGGGTGCTGAAAATTATATAATCTATAACCAATCTATTGCTAATTTAATTAGATAGCCTGGTTTTTGCCAGTTTTTAAAATGCTACCGTAGTTTATACCTCCTGTTTACAAATGTCTTATTGTGAGCCTATTAAATCTGTTTTTTAATGCGTGCACCTTTCATTACTGAAAATAAAATCATAAGTACACAAAAAAAACTTTGCATTTCAAATTCATATAGTTCAGGTGCAAAAGTTCCAGATGGCTACAGGTAAGATAGTTTGGAATGATTGGAAACTAAATGTCAAAGAATCAACCAAGCAAAAAAAATGCAAAGACTCTGTTCTTCATCAAAACGATGAACTGAAAAAGGGGGTGGGGTAGAGAGACTGTCTACATGTTCAATCTTACTGTGGAATATGGGTTTCAGTGGCCCAGCCTGGCTACTGTTCTGTTGATGTGACTCAGCCATTATAGTGAAGAAAAACTGGAAACTGGAGAAGAATAGAGAGAAGGCAAGGAGAGTAAAAGACTGTAGTTAGAGTGAATGGAGTAGCTAGAGATAAAGGCTGGGGAGAAATCGGAGAGAGAAGATAAGTGTACAGAATAATCCAGGAGAAAGGGAAGATCCATGGGGATGAGAGTTCCACCTCAAGGCCCAAGAAAGGGAAGGGGACATCTGGCAGATTGTAGGCAGTGGATTCACCTAAGACTATGGAAGGATGGAGGGAGACAGTTGCCAATAGAGAAGCCCTGATTTTGTGGGAAAACTGATCAGAAGACCCTCAGAGAGGTTTATCCTCCAATGGAGAAGCATTTGGTGTCTTGGTGGAGCTGGAGATTAAGCCAAAATGAGCGCACTACAATAAACCCAGCCTTTTTTTTTTTTAATTTTCACTCTTGTGATGCCCAGAAACAGGGGAAGGAGTTGGAAATAAATGTGGTGGGGGGAGGGAAAGCAGGAGAGATAGAGGGGGAAGGTTTCTGGGAAGGAAATCAGGGAGTAAACCTGATACCAGGACTATATTGTTTAGCTCTGTTGTCAATACCTTGTGTAAATTAGTGTGTATAGTAAAAAGCATAAAAGGCTTGACCATGTGTTTCTGTATCCACTACCACAGCTGCAAAGAAATATACTTCCCATTCACACTGTCACATATATTGTTTGTTTGTTTATTGTTTTATTAAATTTATATACCGCCCTACTCCCGAAGGACTCAGGGTGGTGAACAGGCACAGAATAAAATATATAAATACAAAAGTTAGAAACAATTTAAAACCAAATTAAATAATTTAGTCCAAGACAATTAAAATCCCAATAATTTAAAACAAATTAAAATTTCAGTTTAAAAAATTAAAAAGAAAGGGGAGAAAATTAGGCCAGGCCGGCTTGCTGGAATGGGTCTTAAGAGCACGGCGGAAAGTGCGCAGATCCGGGATCCTCCGGGGGGGCTCGTTCCAGATAGTGGGTGCCCCCACAGAGAAGGCCCTCCCCCTGGGGGCCGCGAGTCGACACTGCTTGGCTGATGGCACCCGGAGGAGCCCCTCTCTGTGAGAGTGTACCGGCCGGTGGGAGGCTGTTTGTGGTAGTAGGCGGTCCCATAAATAACCGTAAATATATATCCTCCTTTAACTATACATTGAAAATACTATTTTCTTGTGTGTGGTTTGTATATTGTATTGTGTTTTATTACACAGTAGGCAAGCACCCACACCATTGTTATCAGGGATGGGTTCTAAATTTTTTTACTACCGGTTCTGTGGACGTGACTTATTTTGTGGGCGTGGCTTGATGGTCATGTGACAATTGTTTAGGATTTAGCAGAGGTACTGGTCTACCAGGCTTTTAACTGTTTGCAGAGCTGTACCGATCTACCCATTTATTTTTGCAGGCACTGGTCTACTCATGTATTTTTGCAGGCACTAATCTACTCATGTATTTTTGCAGCCACTGATCTACTCATGTATTTTTGCAGGCACCGGTCTATTCATTTGTTTTCTTTTACCACCGGTCAGCTGTAAGGCAGCCCTTTGAAGCCCCACGGCAAGAGTTTAAACAGTTTTTTTCCCTCTAGCCATCAGCTGGGACTCAGGAGGCAGCAATAGATCGGGGGTGGGGCCAAATAAAAGGTAAGAATAACGCAGGGGTGGGGGGGCGGGGGGGGGCAGAACCGGTTCGGTGATGTCATATCTGACTTGGCGGAACCGGGTGGAACCCACCACTGATTGTCATGTGCTGTGGCAGGAACACCACCTTCCTTATGATCAATGGCCATTGTCGTTCAAGTCCATCTAGTGCAGGGGTGTCAAACTCATGGCCCGTGGGCCGGATACATTATGCACTGGCCACGCCCGGTTTAGCGAAGGGGGAAAAAAGTCACGATATGTCACATGATGACTCCGTGACGACACAAGTTTGACACCCCGATCTAGGGAAATTGAATTAGATATGGACTAGAACTATTTTTTCCCCCATATTTATATTATAGATTGATAGAAACTGTTATTTTAGATTCTGAGTCCTGTTTATTTCATCTGCATTGTATATTCAACTGAATGTCTATTCATGCCTGGAAAGTTAGTTACAAATTAAAACCGATCGGGTTCATGACACTTTTCCTTTCCATTTATCCCATTCCCTTCAATTCAGAATTTCTTAACATTAATCTAGATCAGGCCTGTCAAACTGGTGGCCCACAGGCTGGATAGGGCCCTCGCAGCCATGCCCACTCCAGCTCTGCAAAGGCAAAAAACATCACAATACATCACTATTCAGCCCACAACATGATCAAGTTTGACACCGCTGATCTAGATAGTTTATGCCGCATCCTGGACATAAACTATTTCAACTCCTACCCTCAAAATGACGCTATAGAGCACTGCACACCAGAACAATTAGACACAAGGACAGTTTTTTCCTGAATGCCATCACTCTGCTAAACAAATAATGCCCTCAACACTGTCAAACTATTCACTAAGTCTGCAATAATAATAATAATAATAATAATAATAATAATAATAATAATAATAATTTTATTTCTATACCACCCTTCTCCCGAAGGACTCAGGGCGGTGTACAGCCTATTTAAAAACACAGACAAAACAACAATATAAAATTTAAAATAATTAAATAAAGTGGCTCAGATTTAAAACCCCAATAAATTTAAATACCCCAATTTAAAACTATTGTGTTGATAGTCCGGCCTGGCAAAACAACAGGGTCTTCAATGCGCAGCGAAACAACCGGAGGTCGGAGATCTTACGAATTTTCGGGGGCAGTTCGTTCCACAGGGCTGGGGCTCCCACAGAGAAGGCCCTCCCCCTGGGTGTCGCCAGCCGACATAACTTGGCTGATGGCACCCTGAGGAGACCCTCTCTGTGGGAACGGACTGGTCGGTGGGAGGCTATTTTATTAATCTTCTCATCGTTCCTATCACCCATCTCCTCCCATTTATGACTGCATTACTGTAACTATATTTTCTTGTATCCTTACGATTTATATTGATATTGTTTCCTGATTGCTTATTTGTACCCTATGACTATCATTAAGTTTTGTACCTTATGATACTTGATGAATGTTTCTTGTCTTTTTATGTACACTGAGACCATATGCACCAAGACAAATTCCTTGTGTGTCCAATCACACTTGGCCAATAAAAAATTCTACTCTATTCTACTCTACTCTACTCTACTCTACTCTACTCTACTCTACTCTACTCTAAACAATTTATATCATCTTCTGAAATGTGTAGCCTCATTTTAGGAGAGAATTGATCAACCATACTTGCTAGTCACCCTGCTAGTCCCAGAAAGATGAGAAAGAGTCCTCTCCCCTTGTTTTGACATGAGCAGGAAAGACAGATATTATCTCTGGAAAGAGTGGTGGCAGAAGTAACTAAACTTCCCACAAGATTGCCAGAAAGTGAAAGGTATTGGGAGGGAAGGGCTTAGAGACCCTCACTTGAGTGACCAAGTATTACTTGGTTACAGATGTGCAGAATTCTACTGGTTCAAGCCAAGTGTTCATAGAATTCATTTTCCCAAACTCTCAAGAAATGACATACAAAGGCAGGAAGTCTTTTGGCATGCAAGCAAAAACATGCGATCTTTTTGCTTTGGAAAATCAATATGGGAAGATCAAAGAACTAGAGGCTCTATCACCATCCCCTTAAAAAAAGAAAAGCTCCCATACATGCAGGGAGCAAAAGAGGACAAGGAATAAGGAGTGTATTTAATTGAGACCAATCAAGAAGGCCAGAAGAAATTATTGTCATTAAATCCACTAAACGAGTGGCTATCCTTATTTACTTGTCCTTAGATTCTCTCCTAATGAAGGTTTTAAATAATGTTAGAGCCTGGGCATCACATTAAGAGCTTTTTCTGCTTATTTCATCATCAATATAAGTGCCAGAAAACTTTAATCATGTTTATTTAAATATTTGACATATTCTTCAATATATATTTGACAGGAGATGAATTTTGTTTGGTGTCATGAATATATATTTCTGTATAATTTATATCCTTATGATTCATTCTCCCTCCCTCCCTCCCTCCCTCCCTCCCTCATCCCTCTCTCTCTCTCTGTTATAATTTTGCCTTGGGTTGTCTGTGCCCTCTAGATTTTCATTTTTTCCCCTTCTGGTGCTAAGGCAATAACTGTTCCATTGAATTTTTTTTTTTTAGGGTCTCAGTATGGAAATAAGTTATTCCAAGCTAACAAAGAATATTTTCTGAGCTAATTAAGGATGCAGGTAAAGATGCCTTCCAGTTAATTTCAGCCCCTAATAACTTCATGGACATATACAGCCAGGATCTTTTTCTTGGCAAAGTATAGAAGGGGTTATTATTGCCTTCTCTCTCAGCTTCCAGCCTAGAGCCTAAGGATATTCAGTAATGTATTTAGTAAGAGAGCCAAGAAAAGTGGTTATTATTTTGCACAATTATTATTTTTAATAGAAACTTTAAAAACATAGCTTTTATTTTCAAAAACATTCATTTCCCCTCCCCCCAGAAAATCATGCCTGTAGTGCTGAACTATGATTTCTACTTGCTTTCTGGTGGCAGACAGGCACTTCGCTTGGTCATTTATATATAAAAATAGCCAGTTTCACCATTTCTCCATTTTTAGGAATACTGTAACTATAGTTACTGAATGCAGATGCAGAAGGTATATGGGAATTATGTCTGGAATTGACTCACACTTGCAAAGGAATCATGACAATTTAAAATAAAGCCTAATTTGTCCTCTTCAAGGACTTCATGTAATTACCATGATGCAACTACCATATTTTTCGGAATATAAGACGCACCTTTTTCCCCCTAAAAGAGGCTGAAAATTTGGGTGCATCTTATACTCCGAATGTAGCTTTTTTGAAGCTTTTTTTCAGACCTAACAAGGCACTAACAAGGCGCTAGTGAGTGAAGCGATCTTTCCAGCTTTGCCTGCTCCCTCGACTCTCCGCTGTGCTTTAATAAGATTCTAGCGAGTGAACCAATCTCCATGCTTTGCTCCGACTCTCAGCTATTTTTAGAAGCTTTTTTTCAGCCCTAACTAGGCGCTAGCTGAGTGAAGTGATCTTCCCGTGCTTTGTCTGCTTTTCTCATTGCTGCTTCCTCTCAGCTGTGGCTTAGGACCAGCAAATTTATGTGCCGAAGCTGACCAGACTAAGGACACTAGCCAGATGATACCTGGTAGGTAGATTCCCCCCCCCATTTTCCTCCCAAAAACTAAGCTGTGTCTTATACTCCGGTGCATTTTATACTCCGAAAAATACGGTATGTAAGATATTTTTTAAGACTTTGAATTTTTAAGGGTACTTTTTCCCAAAAAATGAAAAGGAGGAGAAAGAGCACAAACAGCTTGCTTTCAGCATGAGGGTCAGCTAATGTAGCTTCCGTAAATAACCTTCATTTTGTTATTTCTATCTCTCCACGGACATAGAGAGGAACAATGTTCCTCCGTCTTACAATGACCAAGTGGGATTGTTTTACTGTTTCTATAGCTGAAGGGTGTTAAAACATTGTCTGTACCCAAACCTGCTGATCAGTGTGCTGTGTCTAACTGGGCAGCCAGCCATCAGATCCACTGCTGATCATTTTGTCTTCTTCTGGCTGATGGACTCTATGGAGCTATCCTCACGTTTTCTCATTGTCTGCTGATTAGCCACAAAAGTTTTTCCCTCATGGTCCCTAACTTTTATTTGACTTTATGATTTCACCCCTATACATGCCCACCCTCCTTCTCAGCCTTTCTCCCTCATCTATCCATGCAAAGCCCAAAGCCTTAGCATTGGGATCATTCTAAGCTTTCAGCACTGGCCTTCTTTGCATCATGGCTCTGTGGGAAATCCTTAGGATATGCCTGGGATTATGGAAACAGCAGAGAAAGAGAAAGCAGAGGAAAGGATGGCTTTACAAATCTGCATCTGTGGTAAGCATGGAGCACATTTGGAGAGATTCTGAGATGTTTTGCTTTATTTGGACTCTTCCCCAGAACCCAAAGCCTTAGTGTGAATTAAAGCAAAAGAGTAGGGTCATTAATTGGATTCTTAATTAATTTGTCATTCAACAAAGGTTATTTATTTGTCTGATAAAAGAATGGAAGCTACTCCATAGATAATAAACTCTGTCTAGTTTTTAAAGCAATGGGCAGTGACTAATAGGCAAGAGGGAATTCTTTCTTTTCAAATGTAGCAATTTTCTTAAGCAGCTTGATGCCAGCTTGTCATGTTGTTGTTGTTAGTTATGTTGTTGTTGATGTCCAAGCCATCATGACCCCATGGACAATGTTCCTCCAGGCCTTCCTGTCCTCTACCATCCTTTGAAGTCCATTTAAGCTCACACCTACTGCTTCAGTGACTCCATCCAGCCACCTTGTTCTCTGTTGTCCCTTTCTTCTTTTTCCCTCAATCTTTCCCAGCATTAGGTTCTTCTCCAGTGAGTCCTTCCTTCTCATTAGATGGCCAAAATATTTGAGTTTCATCTTCAGGATCTGGCCTTCTAAAGAGAAGTCAGGGCTGATCTCCTCTAAGACTGATCGGTTTGATCGCCTTGCAATCCAAGGGACTCGCAGGAGTCTTCTCCAGCACCATAGTTCAAAAGCCTCAATTCCTTGGCGCTTAGCCTTCATTATTGTCCAACTTTCACAGCCATACATTGCAACTGGGAAAACCATAGCCTTGACTATACGCGCTTTTGTTGGCAGGGTGTCATAGTCTGTCCTAAAGTACTTGGTAAGCTACCCATCTGCCCATCTATGGAATATTATATGTATGTATCACTAAACTATTACTTCTCCCCAACTTCCATAGTACTTACTTCTATGTCAAGTATTTCCAGTTAAACACTTCATCATATAATAGGCAGCATTTTATTACACTGAAATAAACCTTTACATTAATCTATAGTAAAGGAAACCATAATCAACTTGATGTGATTCAGTGGTGGGTTGCCCCTGGTTTGCACCGGTTCTATAGAACCGGTAGTAAAAACGGCAGGAGGCTCCACCCACTGACCCTGACATCATCAGAATGCTTAAATCTTACACTTCTGTTAAGTAATGTAATTGCAGTATATGTGTTACAAAGAATAAAAACATGAAAGCCCAGTCAAGGGAGAAAAAAACCTCAGATTTTAGGGAGGAAAAAAAAAGTGATCTAATTAAAAGTAAAGGAATATTCTCTACATTCACACCCTTCCAAACATGTTTATTTTTGGTTAAAAAAAGCTTGAATTGTTCAGGTTTTTAACTGGGCATCTCTTTCTTCAACAGGAATGTCCACAAGTTTATGCTCGGAGAAGCCAACAAGACTCAGTTGTGATTTGGTCATTGGTCAACTCCTAAACACAATAGGTACACAATGCATTACATGTATTCATAAAAAGAATTAACTCATTGGTGTAGTTGCATTCACCTGTAGATAATGTATTGCAGGGAGAGGAAAAAAATCAGTAAGTGTTTTAAACACTCAAAAAACAACTAGAGTTTGTTTCACTGGAGTCCATGGATTTCACTGTCCAAACCAGTGTTGCATATATTCTATTAGAGCTTGTTTCACTTTGGCTATAGTACAATTTCTTTTTTCTTTCTATCAAGCATGAGAGAGATATTTCTTTCAATCTGAAAATCTGAGTAACAGTGCGGAAAAATTGTGGGTCAAGATAATTGTGATATTGCTGCGGGTCATGTTGTTCCTTTATATTGCAAGGTATTCTCCCCCCCCTCTCTAACAGCTTCTTTATACAAGTTGCCATATTATTAGTTCAACCAGATTTCTTCTCTGTATTTAGGAATGGAACAAACACAGGAAAAAGCCACTGAGGCATTTAGAAAATGTGTAAGTCAAATCTGCCATTTGCTCAGTGAAATCACCTTTTAATCTTTCTGTAGGAATTTCTTGCGATAGACAGGAATGAATAGAGTATCTTTTGTGCAAGAAGGGGAAAAAGGCATGTAAGTGGGAGAAAGAGACAGATGGAGCTTTGTGGCTGATATTTTTTTTTGATAGATTATATGGAAGTGATGTGTTGTGAGATAAAATGCCAAAGTTGTAGGCTGGGGCAGAGTTATGAAATAGTCTTAAAAGGCAAAAACCACAATGCAGGAGAAGTTAACCAGCATTCTTGTTCTGAGAGAAAAAAGGATAGTCAGCTTATAAATTAGAAAGGTGTTTCTCAACCTGAGGCTGTACAACTTCTAAGGACTTGAGAGCATTGTTGGCTCAGAATGCCAATGTTTGGAAAAGAAAGGGAAAGGGAGGAGAGAGAAGAGAGGAAAGATTATTAAGTTTAGACTTAAGTTTAATTATGCAGCACTACTGAAATCAGATCAGATTTTGTTTCACTTGAATTAGGTGAATCTGCTACTGTTATTTGAACCAGAGTATGCATTTCAATTGTGCTTGTGCAAATATTTTTTCTAAGAATGGATTTATGATTGGCAGGTGTTAGAAAGTCCTTCGTCAAACATCAGCATGCCATCAAATATCATTACGGTTGCTTTTTGTATATTTGACAAAAGACTTAATATGACTTCATCTTCATTATGGTTCAGGTCTACGACATCTAAAGCATTGCTAAAGCACACATTGTCACTGTAGCCTAATTTCAATTATGTAATATACCAAATTTGTCTCTAGCAATCTATAGGTAGTCCTAATTTAGCAACCACAATTTGGACCAGAAACTCTGGCACTAAGCAACACTAAGTCAGAAATCATGTGACCATTGTGGTCAATTGTGCTTTCTGGCTTGAAACTGACAAGACTAATCAATTTCACACTTTCTGCTTTTGTTTACCTCCTAATCCTGCCCTTTGGAATGCTCACCCAAAGACTGGATAATTTACAAGAAATGAATTAATATTTGTACTTACCTTCATTGGAGAAGAAAGAATGACAAGAGAATAAGAAACACACAATGAAAAATACACATCAGAAGTAAAGGTGTTGGTGCCAGCAACTGTGAGTGTGCTACTCAAACAGTCTAATGCAGAGGTGTCAAACTCACATCGTCACTGCAGCGTCACATGACGTATTGGGACTTTTTCCCCCTTCGCTAAACCGGGCGTGACCAGCGCGTGATGCATCTGGCCCGTGGGCCAGGAGTTTGACAGCCTGGTCTAATGTATTTCCCATTGTGTGCTTGCTTACTCTCTTGTAATTCTTTCCTTTCAATCTCTTCAGTCTGAATCAGGGGAAAAAAGGTTGGGCACTGGAGAGATTACTTAGACAAACTGCTTGTTTCTTCCACTCTCACAGAGCAAAGATATTGGAGAGGAAGGGATTATGAGAGAATATGTAGGAATACTATGGAGAATAAATCTATTTGTGTAGCACATTTATGACTGCCAATACTAGTGCATTGCTTTTCATGAATGTTCCCCATTGTGTGCCAGTTTACTTTCTTGTAATCCTTTTCTCTCCAATCTGTGTGCCAGGAGAGAAAATAAGAAAAACAACAGGTCAGGCACTGGATAATGCATACTGACTGTAATGGTGATCATGTGACTGAGGGATACTGTGAAGGTCATAAATGCAGGCTTCGGTCATAAAGTTATTTTTAAGCACCATTATAACTTTGAATGGTTGCTGAATGAAGCAATGGGTAAGTGATATATGATGGCCTGACTTATATATGATAGAATGCTCTTCAGAACAAAATTTCTCTCTCAATAGATGTCTATTACAAATGTCTAGTTTTCTATGTAACGTTTAAAAACATCATATGTTAGCAAAAATCACAGCCTAGGACTATAGAAAGTATGCAGTACTATTTAGCTGATACACTACTAATGCAATAAAAGAACTAGGAACTATTTTAAAAAAAATATGTTAACTTGTCTTCTAGCTTAAAAACAAAAATATTTTCTTTTCACCAATGTCAGAGCCTCTCATTCTTCTCAATATTTATGAAACATATCTAACCAATATGACAAAGAAGACCACTAGGGGAATTGGTTGTAGTTTCAAAAATGAAGAATTTTGTTAGAAACCATACATAGCATCTAGTGACAACTGCTAGTAGCAAGCAATATTGCACACATGATTAATAAGAATTACACAAAAGAGTTACACAAATTACACAAGAAGAATTGAGAATGCAAAATGTGGAAATAGAGTGGTGGTCATATTTGCAATTAAAATCGAGATATAAATCTGATATGGAAAAAACTGGAATTCAAATGGAATCAAATCAGTTGGATAAAATTTTATTAGGCCCCAATGAGAAATTAATAACCAAAATTTACAATTTTCTATTGGAATATAAACTAGCAGAGGAAGTAGTTAAAGAGAATATGATCACATGGGCGACGAATTTTGGGTATGCAATAGAATTAAATAAGTGGGAAAATTTGTGGAAAAATATTAATAAATTAACATTATCTGTACCATACAAAGAAAATGCTTATAAATTGTTCTATAGGTGGCATCTACCACCGGCGCGAATTTCTAAAATGTTTCCCGGCACATCTCCACTGTGTTGGAAATGTAAAGCGCATAAAGGGACATACTATCATATATGGTGGTCATATCCCAAAGCTAAAAAATTCTGGAACAATATAAAAATGCAACTGGAACAAATAATAACTCAAAAGGTGCCATTAAAGCCAGAAACTTATTTATTAGGAATACCTACAAGCAAATATGAAAAAGAAATAATATATTTAATAACACACATTTTGACTGCAGCAAGAATTATATACGCACAAAATTGGAAACAAGAAGAGGTCCCGACTCAAGAGAAATTAATATCCAAAATTATGGAATGCGCTGAGATGGATAAACTTACCAAGGAGATCCAAGAAAAAGAAGAATCTGAATATTATCTGGTCTGGCAAAAATGGTATAAATGGTTAGAGGGAAGTGGGAAAAAAAGAGAAGAAGAAAGAAAGAAAAATTGAATAAAAGAAAAGATATCAATAGAGTTAAATAAATTTTTAAATCAAATGAAATTTAAGAAAGAGACACGAGATATCAATAAAATAATATCATTATATAAGGTGAGAGAAATATTGTATATTGAAGAATATAGAATATTGATATTGTAACAATTCAGATATTATAGGTAGATGTTATAAAGATGATGTTTGTTGTAAATTGTTTTACTTGCATTTATAAATGTATTATGTGGTTTCTTAAATTAATAAAAATTTATATATATATATATAAAAAAAGAATTACACAAGTTATGTTCTTGACCAAATGATGCAAGTATGTATGCCGTGTTATTTAAACAATGGCATGGCATGCATACTTGGGTTGTTTGTTCAAGGATATAACTGGTGTTATTTCTGCAATGATGTTGTAACAAAAGTGATACCATTTGGCAGTATCATGACTTACTGGGCCTGTTCTAATAATCTTTGAAATTTTCACAGCATAGATATGAGAGGCTGAACCTTCCTATAATGGGTCCTGGATTAGGCAAAATAGCTGTCAATTAGAAAAATATCCAAGCAGGGAAAGAGAAAGAAACAAAGGACAAGCGTGATATACCTTCCCAATCTGTTGCAATTGACAACATAGCCTCTGGCATTTTATTTGAGTTGTGCTGATCCCGATACTTCTGAAAGGTGAAGGATTTGGGAACAGTCACATTTTGTATTTTTCTACTTCTTGCCCATAGGCAGAATATATGGTGTCATCTTTCATTATCAAATCCACGTTTCCCAAAATCCACCAAAGGGGAACTTAATAAGCAACTCAAAATACAATTCTGCCATTGGGGATGAGTAGAAGACCATCCATGAGGCTGAAATTGTCAAAAGAGCCTTGGGTGGTGCAGCAGACTAAACTGCTGCTGTTAAAGTAGCACTTAGCTGCCAGCTGCCTGCAATTACTGCGAGTTCAATTCTCACCAGGCTCAAGGTTGACTCAGCCTTCCATCCTTTCGAGGTAGGTAAAATGAGGACCCGGTTTGTGGGGGCAATAAGCTGACTTTGTATAAAATAGAACACCGCTCGGGGGCCCCAAAAAGCTCTACTAAGCAGGTATATACAAAAGTATGAAGGCTATTGCTTAATGCATTGTAAGCTGCCCTGAGTCTCTGGAGAAGGGCGGCATATATAAATCGAAAGCAAGCCAGTTCTTACAGCAATATTGCATCACAATTATCTGTACTATATGGCCAAAGAAATAATGGGAAACAACTAGATCCTTTCTAAATCTGAAATCCTATGATTGTCAAATGTTTTTGGATCCTGACTTTCAGATGTATCCTCATCCATACAAGTACTTATAAGAGATTTTACAACCTCCCAAGTAGTCTTACATCAAGTATACTAGGCAGAAATTAGACAGACACTTTAACTATTATTAACACTTTAACAAGCACATTGGTTTGTTGCTTCTT